GTTACGCCTGTCTGTCTTCTCCACAGCCAGATGTTACAGGTGTAACAGGTGTTATAGATGTTACAGATGTTACAGGTGTAACAGGTGTTATAGATGTTACAGGTGTAACAGGTGTTATAGATGTTACAGATGTTACAGGTGTAACAGGTGTTATAGATGTTACAGGTGTAACAGGTGTTATAGATGTTACAGATGTTACAGGTGTAACAGGTGTTATAGATGTTACAGGTGTAACAGTTGTTATAGATGTTACAGGTGTAACAGATGTCATAGATGTCATAGATGTTACAGGTTTTATAGATGTTACAGGTGTAACAGGTGTTATAGATGTAACAGGTGTAACAGGTGTTATAGATGTTACAGGTGTAACAGGTGTTACAGATGTTACAGGTGTAACAGGTGTTACAGATGTAACAGGTGTTATAGATGTTACAGGTGTAACAGGTGTTACAGATGTTACAGGTGTAACAGGTGTTACAGATGTAACAGGTGTTATAGATGTTACAGGTGTAACAGGTGTTATAGATGTAACAGGTGTAACAGGTGTTATAGATGTCATAGATGTAACAGGTGTTATAGGTGTTACAGATGTTACAGGTGTAACAGGTGTTATAGATGTTACAGGTGTTACAGGTGTAACAGGTGTTATAGATGTAACAGGTGTAACAGGTGTTATAGATGTCATAGATGTAACAGGTGTTATAGGTGTTACAGATGTTACAGGTGTAACAGGTGTTATAGATGTTACAGGTGTAACAGGTGTTATAGATGTCATAGATGTTACAGGTGTTACAGATATTACAGGTGTTACAGATGTTAAAGGTGTTATAGATGTTACAGGTGTTACAGATGTTACAGGTGTTATAGATGTTACAGTTGTTACAGATATTACAGGTGTTATAGATGTTACAGGTGTTATAGATGTTACACATGTTACAGATGTTACAGGTGTAACAGGTATTATAGATGTTACAGGTGTAACAGGTGTTATAGATGTCATAGATGTTACAGGTGTTATAGATGTTACAGGTGTTATAGATGTTACACATGTTACAGATGTTACAGGTGTTATAGATGTTACAGGTGTTATAGATGTTACACATGTTATAGATGTTACAGGTGTTACAGATGTTACAGGTGTTACAGATGTTACAGGTGTTACAGATGTTACAGGTGTTATAGGTATTACAGATGTTACAGAGTAATGTCCATCTCCACTGTTATATCTGAAGATAAAATAAATTAAATGTGGGCCTGCTCCTTTAAACCCTCCGTGTTCTCAGGCTCGGGAGGCGGTTCAGGTTTTGTCTCAGGATGTGGACTCTCTCTCAGCCAGACTGACAGGCTCCGCCCCTGCCACTATTGTCTCCGCCCAGCGTCTTGCCAAGGATGTCGGAATCCTCTCTGATGTAGGTATACTACCCAAGATGCACTGTAGCCAGTCAGACATGATGACGTGCTGTGTAGTTTGACCCTGTGCTGTGTCTGTCAGGCTGTAGATAACACCCCCCTCCCTCAGTGGCAGCGCAGAGAGCTGCAGGGTCGACTTAGAGCTCTGCAGAGGACCAGTAACACCACCGTCAGGAAGCTGGAGACCAGAGAGGTGAACACACACACCTGAGACACACCTGAGCATCACACAATCAGCTGGGGGAGGAGTAAACAAAGTCTGGGTTGTTGTGTTGACATTAATCAGCTGATGGGAAACAGTTAGTGGAATGTGTTGGTGTCTCCACCTGGTGGATAGTCTCCTGTCCTTCATGTTTTTTTCTGCTGCTCTGATTGTGTGTTTTCCCATCATGCTTTGCTCAGGCTGCAGGAAGAGCTCAGGCTCTGCTGGAGAAGAACGGCAGGAAGGATCTTGTGGTGGACTCGGTGGAGACGGACTCTCTGTCGGTGAGAACAAGCTGAAGTATTAGCTAACTGTATAAACTACTACTAATAATGATTTATCTTTACACACGATCTGGATTAAACTGTTCACTCATAAAAAGATCAAAAATAAAAAACAGATAAAATATCAATTTACAAAATGCAAAGTGAGCGAACAAAATAAAAATCTAAATCAAATCAATATTTGGTGTTACTACCCTTTGCCTTCAAACTAGCATCGATTCTTACAGGTACACTTGCACAAAGTCAGGGATTTTGTAGGATTATAGTCAAGTGTATGATCAACCAGTTATACCAAACAGGTGCTAATGATCATCAGTTTCACATGTAGGTTGAAACACAGTCATTAATTGAAACAGAAACAGCTGTGTAGGAGGCTTAAAACTGGGTGAGGAACAGCCAAACTCTGCTACCAAGGTGAGGTTGTGGAAGACAGTTTCATGTCACAGGTCATACACCATGGCAAGACTGAGCACAGCAACAAGACACAAGGTAGTTATACTGCATCAGCAAGGTGTCTCCCGGACAAAGATTTCAAAGCAGACTGGGGTTTCAAGATGTGCTGTTCAAGCTCTTTTGAAGAAGCACAAAGGAACAGGCAACGTTGAGGGTTGTAGACGCAGTGGTCGGCCAAGGAAACTTAGTGCAGCAGATGAAAAACACATCGAGCTTATTTCCCTTCGAAATCAGAAGATGTCCAGCAGCTCCATCAGCTCAGAACTGGCAGAAACCAGCGGGACCCAGTTACACCCGTCTACTGTCTGGCCAGAAGTGGTCTTCATGGAAGAGTTGCAGCCAAAAAGCCTCTGACATGGAAACGAGGCCAAGCGACTCAACTATGCACGAAAACATAGGAACTGGGGTGCAGAAAAATGGCAGCAGGTGCTCTGGACTGATGAGTCAAAATTTGAAATATTTGGCTGTAGCAGTTTGTTCGCCGAAGGGCTGGAGAGCGGTACGATAATGAGTGTCTGTAGGCAACAGTGAAGCATGGTGGAGGTTCCTTGTAAGTTTGGGGCTGCATTTCTACAAATGGAGTTGGAGATTTGGTCAGGAATAATGGTGTCCTCAGTGCTGAGAAATACAGGCAGATACTTATGCATCATGCAATACCACCAGGGAGGCGTATGATTGGCCCCAAATTTATTCTGCAGCAGGACAACGACCCCAAACATACAGCAAATGTCATTAAGAACTATCTTCAGCATAAAGAAGAAGAAGTCCTGGGAGTGATGTTACGGCCCCCACAGAGCCCTGACCCTGACCCCCTCCAGTCTGTCTGGGATTACATGAAGAGACAGAAGGATTTGAGGAAGCCAACATCCACAGAAGATCTGTGGGTAGTTCTCAGAGATGTTTGGAACAACCTACCGGCCGAGTTCCTTCAAAAACTGTGTGCAAGTGAACCTAGAAGAATTGAGGCTGTTTTGAAGGCAAATGGCAGTCACAGCAAATATTGATTTGATTTATATTTCTCTTCTGTTCATTCACTGCATTTTGTTAATTGATGAAAATAAACTATTAACACTTCCATTTTTGAAAGCATTCTTAGTTTACAGCGCTTTTTCACATCTGCCTAAAACTTTTGCACAGTACTGTGTGTGTGTGTGTGTGTGTGTGTGTGTGTGTGTGTGTGTGTGTGTATATATATATATATATATATATATATACACACACACACATACAGTCAAGCCTGAAATGATTCATACCCCTGGCAAATTTTGACTTAAAGTTACTTTTATTCAACCAGCAAGTTTTTTTTGACCGGAAATGACACAGGCTTCTCCCAGAAGATAAGACGATGTACAAGAGGAATCATTGTGGAAAAAAATATCTCAGCTTTTATTTACATCTGAACAAAAAGTGGGAAGTCCAAAATTATTCATTCCCTTCTCAATAATCAATAGAAAGCCTTTATTGGCTATTACAGCAATCAAACACTTCCTATAATTGCTGACCAGCTTTCTGCATGTCTCCACTGGTATTTTTGCCCATTCATCTTCAGCGACGTCTTATTATCTTCTGGGAGAAGCCTGTGTCTTTTCTGGTCAAAAAAAAACTTGCTGGTTGAATAAAAGTAACTTTAAGTCAAAATTTGCCAGGGGTATGAATCATTTCAGGCTTGACTGTATATGTATACACAGTACTGTGTGTGTGTGTGTGTGTATATACATATATATATATACATTTATATATATTTCCACATGGAAAAATCAAACAAACCGTTTCATGATATTAATGATATTTTATTTTTCTGTCTCAGATCTTTTGTAAACTACATTAGAGACTTTTTACAAGTCGACTGACGTCTGGTTTAAATACACAAAGACCAAAACAAAATGTCACAATAACACACAGGTAAACAGTAAACAACAAACAACAACAGACAAGACGCAACATAAAAATCAACAGGAGAGAGAGAGAGGAGGTAAAATGAAAAAATTCGAAAGAAATGAGGTTTGCAGTATGGAGGTGGTGACTGTATGATGTCATCACTGTGACATCACCACCTGCCCTGATGTTTCAGGTTGTGATGAAGACAGTGAACCAGCTGAGCTCCGTCTCTCCTCTCAGCCATGTGATGCTGCTCGCTCACCAGAGGCATTCTGGGAAGGTTCTGTGTGCCTGCCAGGTTCCCAAGGTAATCAAAACCCACCTGTCAGTGACATCACAGGGGCATGTGTCACGTTCGGAGCTTCTGATTGGCTGTGTTCTCCCTCCTCAGGACTCAACGTCTCTCCCGGCCTCTGATTGGGCGGTTGCGGTGTGCCGTCACCTCGGGGGGAGCGCCGGGGGCTCAACGCTGGTTGCCAAGGGAACAGGGAGTAGCAATGACATCACCGAGGCTCTGAGATGGGCGGAGGAGTTCGCCCGCCAGAACATGCAGCGATGACCTCATGAAAAGAGATGACATCATAGTGATCTCACAGCACCTCCTAGTGGAGGCCACAACATGCTGTACAGGTGACTCTAAGCCCCGCCCCCAGCTGCAGCCAGCATCCTCTCATTGGATGGCAGGCTCAGGTGGGAAGGTTCATTCTTTTAAACAGATATTTTGTAAATCTTAACATTTCTTTGTTTTAAAAGAAATAAAAACATCTCAGATTGATCCTGTTATTAATTATCTTTATTATTCATTATTTTTAACAAGGTCGTTACAGTTTGTTATTAAAGCATCAAAGTAAACAACAACAATAAACAGTTCAAAACCTGTGGTGACGCTTCATATGACATCATAGTGTGACGATGATGATGATGATGATGGTGATGACGATGATGACCTCACTAACGTCCCTCTCCCTCATGATTAGAATAAAAACAAACTCCATTCACCACATGCAAAATATTTCAGGCAGATTTGTTCTGTCCCTTTTTCCAGGATCTGGATCAGGCTGGTCCTGGTCCTGGTCCTGGTCCTGGTCCTGGTCCTGGTTCTTCAGAGCAGGGACACGTTCAGCCACTACAGGAGAACCACAATAGGGTGTTAGTTTCATCTCTGAATACACAATCATCAGTCATGTGACCAGCAGCCATGTTAGTGTGAGGTCACCGGTCATGTGACCTTCGTCACGTCTGAAGCTTCTCACCTCGAAAATGTTCAGCTCGACGGTTCCTGAGTCGTCTTTGTCCAACGTGTTGAACGTGTCTGTGGACAGGAAACAGTCATCATCATCATCATCATCATCATCATCATCAATCTGTGAGGACTCACTGAACATGGTCTCCAGACGAACCAGACAGCCCACAAAGTTGTCAAAGTCGATGGTGAGATCTGGTTCACTGTAACGAGCCACCAGGACCTGGTGAAGAGGATTATTGAGACTGAACCCTGAAACACACAGAGACCAGAACCTGATCAGACCCTGAACCAGACCACATGTGTATGTTCATCTGTTCAGAGGAGGAGGACTGAGCCTTGACCCGTCCACCATCTTGTCTTCATGTCTTGTTAGATTCAGAGTTTCCCTCGTGTCTCACCGTCCTGTTCTATGTTCACATGATCCGTATATAAATATATATTTCTTTAACTATTTCACTTGAAGCACAGCTCCTCAGAGACTGAAGGTCGTTTCCTGTCGTGGAGCTCAGAGGTCAAAGTTCAGAACATGAAGCTGCAGGAACAAAACAAGTGTTTGTGTTTTACCAGCTTCTTCCACAGCCGTCCTCATCTCTGTGGAACTCATGGTCCCCGAGTTATCCACATCCTTCTGACGGTAAATGTTCTGTCACAGAGAACAGCAGACAACATTAAAGAACAGCAGAGAACAGAAGAACAATAGAGACCAGAAAAGTACAGAGAACAGGAGAGAAAAGCAGAGAAGAACAGAACAGTAGAGAACAGAGAACAACAGAAAACAACAGGTTACTGATGTACAGTCGTACTGGTTGTTGGTGTGAATGTTCCACTGTGAGTTCTACATTAGTTTGTTCCTCAGTCAGCAGGAGTCTTATTGTTTTATCTCAGAAACACCTTGACGAAAATTTCTTCATTCACCTGGACTCGAAAACAAACTGATTCAATTTTGGTGGCCAAAGGTGAAAGGTCATTACTCTGGGTCTAAAGCACTGACAATGTAAAGGCAGCGTCACTGGTTTGAGGTCAGTCAGGGACTGGAGAGCTCGGCCATTAATCAGTGTCTTGGTGATGACGATGTTCTGATCTAAAACTCACCAGGTAGTTCTCGATCTTGGTCCACAGAACTTTGAACTCCAGCAGACCCAGTTTCCCACTGCCGTCTTTCTGCAGCTGAGGTTCAGGATCTCAACTTCAAATCATGGCTTTACTCAACAGGCTTTGCAGCCTCAGTTCATATCAAACTGACCCCAGGTCAGAGGATTTAAAACTTTGGCTCCCTCTGGTGGTGGAATCAAAAAGAACACCACAGAGACTGAACCATCAGGATGAGTTAGTCATTAATGTAACGGTGTGAACATTCATTTTCATTGCTTGCTTGTTTGTTAGTTCTATCGAATCAAATGTCTGAAAGAGATTTTCTCTTCACTGTGACATGAAGATTTAAAAAGCTGGAAACAGAATATTTAAAAAGATTGTCAAAATAGTTGATATAGTAATATAATCAATGAATTGTTTCAGTTGTGATCAGAATGATGAGTTTCTGTAAATTAGATTTTAAGCAATAACACAGCAGCAAACCGCTGCTGATATAAAGATATAAAGGAGTAATAAGATAAAAGCCACACCCCCTCTGTATGTCGTGTCATCTGAAAAAGGCCTAAAGACACAGAAAGAGATGAGACCTGATCACAGGTGGACTGGACCGAGGACTACCAGCTCAGATCCTGGTCAGCCGTTGGATCGTCAAAACATCCATAAAGTTTTAAAAATCTTTACAGGCTCCATCAGTGTCATTGTTGCGGCTGGTTCCGGTGGATCAGTCCGACTGAATTTGTGTCCCAGTCCGACTGTTTACTGAGAGGAGAACCCTATGAGCTGCTTGACGCCCCAGCTGGACTCAGAACTGTTTTTTCTTCTCCTCCATGTTTCAGTAACTTTATGGTTCATAAATTCATGGTTCATATTGTCATAGAGTGCTGCTGGGTAATTCACTGTACTGAGGACTTATTTTCTGTGGTGGAAGGATACATCCAGGAGGTTGACCATGTTACGACACGTTGTGATGCTGAAGCCGCTGGTTTGGATGTCAGATCCTGTCAGGGACAAACACACCAACAGTTCCTTCAGTGTCTGCAGGTAAATCCTGTTCGAACCTGAACCTGAACCTGAGCCTGAGTCTGAACCTGAACCTGGACCTGAGCCTGAGCCTCAGTATAAACCTGGACCTGGACCTGGACCTGAGTCTGAGCCTCAGTATAAACCTGGACCTGGGCCTGAGCCTGAGCCTGGAACTGGACCTGAACCTGGACCTGAGCCTGAGCCTGAGTCTGAGCCTGAGCCTGAGCCTGAACCTGGACCTGATCCTTAATGTGAACCTGAGCCTGAGTCTGGACCTGGACCTGGACCTGAGTCTGGACCTTAACCTGACTCTGGACCTGAGGTCGTGGTCACAGGTGTTCTCTTACGTTTGGTCACCACTTTGTTGAGGATCTTCTGCAGCTCGAAGGCGCTGATCTCACAGTCCTGCAGCACAGAAACACATTGTCTGAGTGTGATGTCACACAGCTGACATTTAAATGAGTCCAAGTGATGATGTCATCAGCTCACCCCTCCCGCCAGCTGTCCAAACAGACCTCTGAACCGGTCGTCCACATCGTCCTCGTCAATCTCAATCTGACAGAAGCAAAACACAAGCTTCAAGGGCCGGTTACACAAAACACCTTAAGTTTTCTACTTTAGTCTGAAACTTAACCTAACTTTAACTTCTCCTTAGCTGAGGGATTTGTTTAAGCTGCACAGAATCCCCTAAAAGGTTTTCTTGTTAACACAAGTATCACAAGTGCCATTAACACTGTTATCTCATCCTCCCGTTGTTTTGGCAGGAACCAGGTGAACTTTCGTCTCTAAGGTCTTTTGTGCAACTATTTAACTGGCTTTAAGTGATTCCTGAAGTTTAAGACTAAGATAAGTGAACATTTTAAGGGAACCTTAAGGAAAAGACTTAAGGATGATTAGTGCAACTGTTTTTATTTATTTAAGTTATTTTTTCGGGCTTTATGTGCCTTTATTGATAGTGCAGTAGAGAGACAGGAAATGGGGAGGCAGAGAGGGGGAATGACATGCAGCAAAGGGCCGTCCGATGCGGGAGTCGAACCGGAGCCGACTGCAGCGAGGACTGTGGCCTCTACACATGGGGCGGATGCTCAACCGAGCTACTCGACGCCCCTCAACTGTTTTTATTTTAAGGATTAAAATAATAATTTAGACTTTAAGGTAAAATCTTAACTTAAGATGTTTTGTTCCACCGGCCCCAGACATTTACTGACACACAATCATTTTACTCCATGAACTTCCTGTCCATCAGGATGTGGTCTCTCACCTTCTCCACTCTGGACTCGACGGGGTCGTCCAGCTGTCTGCAGGAACAAACACACATGAAACTGTCTAAGCTGCAGTTCCTCTCACAGCCACTAGAGCACATCTGTATCAATCAATCAATCAATCAATCAATCAATGAATTAGACGCAGGAGGCTTCAGTCAGTTCGTCATAGGTGTGACTGCAGCTGTATTTCAGGACTGAGCCGACCAGACCTGATCCTGGATCTGCTGGACTTACTGAAGCACTGAGAGGAAACCTACTGGAAGTCGGCCTGTTTCTCTGAGAAGACTCGGACGCAGAAGTCTCCATTCTTGTGCGGCTCGAACGTGGACGGGATGATCAGGTACTCTCCCGGCGGCAGACAGAAGCGGCTGCAGACTTCTCGCAGGTTGATGAAGGTCTCAGAGCGAGCGGCGGAGGCGTGACGCAGGAAGAAGTTCCTGTTGAGGTGGACGTTCCTCTGACCAGAGAACTGATGAAGACATGAGAGGTGGCTTCAGATCAGACCGGACATTTAACAGAGAATAACATGAAGTTTTATTTTGAAAAGCAAACACTGAGGATGTTGATTGAAGATCGATCAGTGAACATGATGAACCTCGTACCTCGTCAGGAACCTGAAACAGAAGAAGAAGTTTATCAAACCTTCTTTCTTTTCTTTTCTTTTCTTTTCTTTTCTTTTCTTTTCTTTTCTTTTTGTCCCCTTGGAGCTTCTTCTTCATCCTCTCATGTTGGACTGAAGGAAGAATGGACACTGCAGTAACTCACTATAGTGCTATAGTGGTGTTACAAGACAAGAGGTCTTGGATTAGCGGTTAGCATGCTAACTACAACAGATATCTCACAATACAGATCATCAAACCTGTGGTTTCTTCTTCTGTTGATCATTTTTGTCACTTTTTGAATATTCTAAACTGATATTTAGCACCGTTAACAGAGCTGCAGAGATACTGTGGTCTAATTCATGTCCTCGCCTCGTAGATGGCAAAGCCCATGGTGTGCATGTCCTCTCCCATCTTCCTCATGCGTCTGCGGTTCTTCTGTATCAGACCGACCACGAAGCTGCAGCCGGCCTCTCCGTCATCGGGGTCGTCGTCCTCCTCATCCAGCCGGATCACAAACTGAGGGTTGGTCCAGAACGTGTCTGTGGAGGGAACAGAAGAGTCACAAAGAACCTGCTGAAGGTCTGAGGTGAACTGGCCTCAAGAAAGACTTGGTGCCAGTGGTTCCTGTTAGAGCTGTAGCGATGGCGCTGGACCTGGTCTCCGTCTGACAGGATCACTCACTGGGATAGTTCCTGCAGCCGCCGGCAGTGGATCCTCTCCTCCAGCTGCCTTCGAATTTGTTCAGAGCCCACTTAGTTAAGCTGTCGTCACTCAGAGCGTCAGGCGTCAGGTTACAGATCTCCAGCCGGGAGTAATGTCGCAGGAAGTCAGAGAAAGACATCCTGCAAGGAAGAGCACAGGGCGTCAGTTCACCCAGAGCACCATGAAGTTCAGGTGGTCTGAAGAAAAAAGGAATTAAATATTTACCAGAACTCTCCGTCCTCTGAACGATGGCTCAGACGCTCTCTGTCATCATCGCTGATGTAACGCCACTGCGCCGAACTGTCAGACACAAACACATATTATAACCAGCAGATCTGGAACTGCAGCTCCCATGATGCTTTGGGGTACCATTAGCAGCAGCTGAATCAGCTGTGATCAGCTCCTGTCTGCAGTCTATCATGATGTTTTACTGTGATTCTAAAGGATTCTGAATGAAGTTCTGCGGACTCTGTTTCTCTGGAGCTTTATTCTGGAAGGACATCAGAGATGATGACATCGTCAGGAAGTGATGTCACACACAATCAAATCAACCTGTGGTTCAGGTCTTAGGGTTCAGGTCTGACTCAGGTTTGACTCTGAGGAGGTCTTATGTGACCTGCAGCAGTCATCATCTCTGATCAGTCTCCACCCGGCTGTGGCAGACAGCAGGGAGGGGCCAGGTGACAACACAAGCTGACAGGAGCTCCAAGTGTTAACAAGATACCTGGTGAGGTAACTCAGTAAGTCACCTGAATCAGTTTATTCAGATGCTGCAGGAAAACGACTTTCAGTGCCTCACACACTTTATATATATATATATATTTTATATATATATATATATATATATATATATATACATATAGGTGATGGCCTCACCTCACGTCTTAATCACCTCATGTCTTCATGTCCTCATGTCTTAATCACCTCATGTCTTCATCACCTCATGTCTTCATGTCCTAATCACCTCATGTCTTCATCACCTCATGTTTTAATCACCTCATGTCTTCATGTCCTCATGTCCTAATCACCTCATGTCCAAATCACCTCATGTCTTCATGTCTTCATGTCCTAATCATCTCATGTCTTCATCACCTCATGTCTTCATGTCCTAATCACCTCATGTCTTCATCACCTCATGTTTTCATGTCCTCATGTCTTAATCACCTCATGTCTTCATGTCCTCATGTCTTAATCACCTCATGTCTTCATCACCTCATGTCCTAATCACCTCATGTCTTCATGTCCTAATCATCTCATGTCTTCATCACCTCATGTCCTCATGTCCTAATCACCTCATGTCCTCATGTCCTAATCACCTCATGTCTTCATGTCCTAATCACCTCATGTCTTCATCACCTCATGTCTTCATGTCTTAATCACCTCATGTCTTCATGTCCTAATCACCTCATGTCTTCATGTCTTAATCTCCTCATGTCTTCATGTCTTCATCACCTCATGTCTTCATGTCTTAATCACCTCATGTCTTCATGTCTTAATCACCTAATGTCTTCATGTCCTAATCACCTCATGTCTTCATGTCCTAATCACCTCATGTCCAAATCACCTCATGTCTTCATGTCTTCATGTCCTAATCATCTCATGTCTTCATCACCTCATGTCTTCATGTCCTAATCACCTCATGTCTTCATCACCTCATGTTTTCATGTCCTCATGTCTTAATCACCTCATGTCTTCATGTCCTCATGTCTTAATCACCTCATGTCTTCATCACCTCATGTCCTAATCACCTCATGTCTTCATGTCCTAATCATCTCATGTCTTCATCACCTCATGTCCTAATCACCTCATGTCCTCATGTCCTAATCACCTCATGTCTTCATGTCCTAATCACCTCATGTCTTCATCACCTCATGTCTTCATGTCTTAATCACCTCATGTCTTCATGTCCTAATCACCTCATGTCTTCATGTCTTAATCTCCTCATGTCTTCATGTCTTCATGACCTCATGTCTTCATCACCTCATGTCTTCATGTCTTAATCACCTCATGCCTTCATGTCTTAATCTCCTCATGTCTTCATCACCTCATGTCTTCATGTCTTAATCACCTCATGTCTTCATGTCTTCATCACCTCATGTCTTCATGTCCTAATCACCTCATGTCTTCATGTCCTAATCACCTCATGTCTTCATGTCCTAATCACTTCATGTCTTCATCACCTCATGTCTTCATCACCTCATGTCTTCATTACCTCATGTCTTCATGTCCTAATCACTTCATGTCTTAATCACCTCATGTCTTCATGTCCTAATCACCTCATGTCTTCATGTCTTAATCTCCTCATGTCTTCATGTCTTCATCACCTCATGTCTTCATGTCCTGATCACCTCATGTCTTCATGTCCTAATCACCTCATGTCCTCATGTTCTAATCACCTAATGTCCTCATGTTCTAATCACCTCATGTCCTCATGTCCTAATCACCTCATGTCTTCATGTCCTAATCACCTCATGTCTTCATGTCCTAATCACTTCATGTCTTCATCACCTCATGTCTTCATCACCTCATGTCTTCATTACCTCATGTCTTCATGTCCTAATCACTTCATGTCTTCATGTCTTAATCTCCTCATGTCTTCATGTCTTCATCACCTCATGTCTTCATGTCCTGATCACCTCATGTCTTCATGTCCTAATCACCTCATGTCCTCATGTTCTAATCACCTAATGTCCTCATGTTCTAATCACCTCATGTCCTCATGTCCTAATCACCTCATGTCTTCATGTCCTCATGTATTCATAGAACCATTAAAGTCCTCGTGCACCTGTTCACCCGAGGGGTTTATAGTCCTGATGTCATCAGCTGACACCTGTCAGGGTTACCTACTCATCACTCCAGGCCCCGGTCCACTCCACCTGACCCCAGGGATTCCGGATCCGGATCAGCTTTTCGCTGTCACCACGATACTCCACCTGCAGCCAATCACATGCAGAGCAGACCACAGAGTTACACGTGAACAAGTCTCCACTTCACTTCAAATGAACCAGTAGAGGTGAAGTCTCGCCCCCTTCAGGTCAGCTGATGACAGGTATGTCTGACCTGGCACATTGAACACCTCAGCATTTTCACGAACAACGGCTCCCATGATGCACTACTCCTACTGCTAATGCTCATGGGTAATGTAGTTTCCAGAATGTTAGATAAACTGCTGATGAATCATATTAAACATGTTTCAGCTGTTCAGACAGACTCAACGATCCCTCACACCAAAGGCGGGGCGCTGTGTTGGGGGTGGGGCTCTGCAGGAGTGGGGTGTCTCACCTCGGCTGCACCTGTCACAGAGTAGGCGTGGCCTTTCACCAGCTTCTGAGAGGTGACTGCCTCTGAGTCGGCCGAGCTGGTGATCTGAAATTAAGTAAGATGAAAAATTAAAAATGAACAAATTAAAATAATAAATATAAACAAATTAATATCAAGATTTTTGACCAGTACAGTCCATCCAACCCCCCCCCACGTTCTCCACAGCCCCCGTGGTCTTACATCTATGGAGCAGCCCATCAAGGATCCCCGGTTCAGAGCTTTCTGGATGATGTGGAACAGGTGTGGACTGGGTCGACTCAGCTCGTGGACTTCAGCGATTCCTCCCGTGAAATCCTCGAAACCCTCAGTCGTAGATCCTCCAGACAGAGCCTCGTAACAGCCATTCACCCTGCAGTGACATCATCAGTAACACCTGAGAACACCTGACAACACCTGAGGACTGAGAACACCTGACAACACTTGAGGACTCGACAGGATGAACACTCTGACAGGTGGTTACAGAAAAGATATTTCTGGAAGGAAACCTGTTTCTCACAAACACTCACAGGTAAATAGATCACCTGAACTCTATGACGTGTGTTGTTGGTCTGAGAACCTGTCGGAGATTAAAGTTTATAAAACAATCATCTTCAGTCGTCTCAGTCAAACGCAGCTGGAGTAGTAAATCCTGAACCGACCAATGAGGAACAAATCGCTGTGATGTCATCCACCGCCATACTGTACAGGCTGCGTTCACAGTCATCTGAATGAACATGTTTGAATGCGTTTATAAAAACACTGAGTGTGTGTGTGTGTGTCTGTCTGTGTGTGTGTGTCTGTCTGTCTGTCTGTCTGTCTGTCTGTGTGTATGTGTGTGTGTATGTGTGTGTGTATGTGTGTGTGTGTGTGTGTGTGTGTGTGTGTGTGTGTGTGTGTGTCTGTCTGTCTGTCTGTCTGTCTGTCTGTCTGTGTGTGTCTGTGTGTCTGTCTGTCTGTCTGTGTGTGTGTCTGTCTGTCTGTGTGTGTGTATGTATCTGTGTGTGTGTGTGTGTATGTATGTGTGTGTGTGTGTGTGTGTGTGTGTGTGTGTGTGTGTGTGTGTGTGTGTGTCTATCTGTTTTTAATTAGAACATAAAGTTCCTGATCCTCAGACCAGGTTCAGACCAGGTCAGGGTCTTACTTGGCGTAGGCCTTCTCCAGCAGAGCGCTCCAGAACTCGCTGCCTTCAGCTGAGTGGACGAACATCAGCTCTCCGTCTTTGACGGGCAGACGGTCGTCGATCACCACGTCCACCCACTCCCCGAACTGCCAGAACTAGAACCAGAGACAGAGACACGGTCTGACACACAGCTGGTTCTGTGTTCTTTACAGGTGCCAGATGTGGTTCTGGCTCTGGCTCTACGAAACATTCTGTTTTTACTCAAGTATCAGTTGTTGCCGCATTTTACATACGATTCTATGTTCCTCTACGGGTTCTGTGTTTCTGTACTGGTTCTGTGCTCTTTGCTGGTTCTGTACCTGGTTCTGTGTTCTGTGTTCTATACTGGTTATGTGTTATTTACTAGTTCTGTGTTCTGCACCTGGTTCTGTGTTCTTTACTGGTTCTGTACCTGGTTCTGTGTTCTGTACCTGGTTCTATGTTCTTTACTGGTTCTGTGCCTGGTTCTGTGTTCTTCACCTGGTTCTGTGTTCCTTACTGGTTCTGTACCTGGTTCTGTGTTCTGCACCTGGGTCTGTGTTTTCTGCTGGTTCTGTGCTCTGTACCTGGTTCTGTGTTCTGCACCTGGGTCTGTAGCTGGTTCTGTGTTCTGCACCTGGTTCTGTATTCTTTACTGGTTCTGTACCTGGTTCTGTGTTCTGTACCTGGTTCTGTGTTCTCTACTGGTTCTGTATCTGGTTCTGTGTTCTGCACCTGGGTCTGTGTTCTGCACCTGGGTCTGTGTTCTTTACTGGTTCTGTGTTCCGTACCTGGTTCTGTGTTCTTTACTGGTTCTGTACTTGGTTCTGGGTTCTGTACCTGGTTCTGTGTTCTCTACTGGTTCTGCACCTGGTTCTGTGTTCTGCACCTGGTTCTGTGTTCTTTACTGGTTCTGTACCTGGTACTGTGTTCTGTACCTGGTTCTGTGCTCTTTACTGGTTCTGCACCTGGGTCTGTGTTCTTTACTGGTTCTGTACTTGGTTCTGTGTTCTGCACCTCAGTCTGCGTTCTTTACTGGTTCTGTACCTGGTTCTGTGTTCTGTACCTGGTTCTGTGTTCTTTACTAGTTCTGTGTTCTGCACCTGGTTCTGTGTTCTTTACTGGTTCTGTACTTGGTTCTGTGTTCTGCACCTCAGTCTGCGTTCTTTACTGGTTCTGTACCTGGTTCTGTGTTCTGTACCTGGTTCTGTGTTCTGCACCTGGTTCTGTGTTCTTTACTGGTTCTGTACCTGGTTCTGTGTTCTTTGCTGGGTCTGTACCTAGTTCTGTGTTCTGCACCTGGTTCTGTGTTCTTTACTGGTTCTGTACCTGGTTCTGTGTTCTGCACCTGGGTCTGTGTTCTGCACCTGGTTCTGTGTTCTTTACTGGTTCTGTACCTGGTTCTGTGTTCTGCACCTAGGTCTGTGTTCTTTACTGGTTCTGCACCTGGTTCTGTGTTCTGTACCTGGAACTGTGTTCTGTACCTGGAAGTGGAAGATCCCGGCGTACTCTCCTTCCCTGAAGCTCTGTCCATGTGGAACGACTCGAGCCAGAACTTCCTCATTCAAGGTGAGAGAGGCGATGGCGGCGAGTAGCCAGCAGTCACCTGATGACGGACAGACAGGGGGCAGGGCTTAAGTCTAAATATCAGCAGAACATGGAGGCTGTGAAAAGGATCATGGGAGTTTCTAGGCAGGAGCTGACAGAACTCAGATGTCAGAGTGTCCTTAAACACACCACCAGACAGAGTTGAAAACAGCAGAATGCTCCTCCCTCTTTGGTCTGTCTGCCCTCTGATTGGCTGGACTCTCCCAGTTGGTGCGCTTTGTTACCATAGAAACTATTTCCTGGTGAACCACCTGTGATGACGTCACAGTGTGTCAGCCACCACCCACCTGCCTGTCAGCATGTTTACTGTTTCTGTTGACATGACAATACTCACCTGACAAAAACTGTTACCCCACACACACACATGCGCACACATATATATGTGTGTGTGTGTATGTGTGTGTGTGTGTGTGTGTGCCTGTGTGTTTCCTCACCCAGAGCTCCCTGACAGATGTCAGTTCTCGTGGCTCCAGAGACGATGAACTCGGGGTCAGAGGTCAACTCCTGCACAGGGAACAAACATCAACTGATGAGACGTGGTCTGAGACTAGAACTGGACTCTGGTCTCATTGTGGACCTTCAGCACAAACCTGCAGCTCATGGCCTTTTAAGACCAGAAACCTGATACCTGTCTTACCCCGGGTGTGGGTGTGGGTGTGTGTGTGTGTGTGTGTGTGTGTGTGTGTGTGTGTGTGTGTGTGTTTCACAGGTCAGGTCTTTGTTCAGGTTTTCAACAACAAAAACCTGCAGACAGTGCTCAGGGATAAAACCCTCCATTCTGAGTCTAGCCCCACCGGTTAAACTGAAATCCTTTATGTAGTCTGTCAGTAATCATGAAGCAGCTCCACCCTCCTCCACCCACTGAGCCTCAGTCTCTGATCAAAGAGTCAAACTGATCAAATCTGAGATGAAAACTGATCTAAACTGTTGAAAATTGATAATAAAAACTGATTTAAAATAAACTGATAAACACCTAAAGGCTCAGTTAGAAACCAGACTGTCAAAATAAAAGCTCCAACCTCAACAGGCTGAGCCCTAAACCAGACTCCATTTGTAAAACATTTGAAACCCTCCTCGATCACTAACGTATAGAAACAAACGTGACGTCACGAGGCAGATGGGATATTATTGATCACTGATAATCAGCTTGATGTTTTATTTTCTATTCTTTAATTCTTCCTGTGGCTGGAGTTATGACTCATTACATCCACTAAATTCAGTCATTAAAAATAAAAGTCTGGATTTATTAAAAGTTTTACTTGTAAAGTTTGTAAAAGAAAAAAGAAAAAAGATATAATAAAAAGTTTTTTAAATTAAGTCTGGTTCGGGTCTGGAACCGAACTTCATGAGAGTAATGAATCTCCACTGACCGTGGGTCTCCTCCACGACACCCCGCGAGTCTTGTAGGAGCTCGGGCCCAGCTCGTTGAAGCCCAGGGAGGAGGGCAGGGCGGGGAACGTCTCGTCCTGGAACAGCTGGCCGGTCTCAAAGCAGCGCTGCCGCAGAGCCTCGTAGTCCTGGTTCAGGTACTTCACCGCCCGGCTGTTGCTGCCGATGCCCTGGATCTTCTCCCGGTGGTGCTGCAGGGTGGTCGCGATGCCCGCCATGATGCTGGTCTGGATCCTGGACTGGACGGTCTGGAGGGTCCCGGAGAGTCTTGGAGTCTGGAGCGGAGTCAGGATGCAGGTGAGATGCCAGGAAGAGAGTGTTCACTCCGCTTGGAGTTCAGAGGCAGAGTCAGACATACAGGTGAGACTTCCGGTGAGTACCTTCACAATAAATCGTTGTGTTCATCAGATAGTTTTACAAGAGTTTTAAAGATAAAAAAAAAGTTGAGGCAGATTAATTATATTTTAATAATTATAATAAAAATAATCAATTATTAACATATTTTAACTGAAGCGACGCATTAAATTATTATTATTAATAATATATTATTTAAGTATTATTATTTAATTGTTATTACGTTTGAATAAAATATGAATAAAATGTCAAAACAACAAAATGAAGTTTATTACAGATGAATTAAAATTCAGTGTCACACCCTCCACCTGTACACTGGGTGAAGCTGGTTTGGTTTAACATCATAAAGAAGAACATGTTACTGTTTTCAGCTGTGAACTGGAGACAAGCAGTTAATAAACCACATAGATGCTTTTATTGTGAAGCCTGATGTCCTTCCTGACTTCCTGTTCTGTGGTTTTGAATTCTGGGAGCAAGAAGCAGGAAGGGTGTGTTCCAGTTACTGAACTCAGGCACAAACTGTTTCATTCTTTGAGCCTTCCTCACTGTGTCCACTGCTCCTCCTCCTCTTCTCCCTCTTCATCACCATCATCATCAGTCGGATCATTATAATGCTCCACAGGTTGTGTAATGTTTGTGGAGGGTGGAGGATCTAACAGGAACCAGATCAAATACACAATAAGAGTCTGAGACGATCCCAGTCCTGATCCACAGGAGGGTTTACTAAAGGGCTCCTTACTGAGAACCTGATGAGTCTGGTTCTTCAGGTTTTCATAGACCAGTTAACAGGTGTGCATGCACCACTTCTCCCCCTCACATGTCCTGAGGTCACACATACACACACAGCTGTCAAATCAGGACACGCCCACACAGGAGCGCTCTGAACAGGTAAAGAAGCCAACACTCACCTGCTTTGACCTTCAGTGCACTCTGTGTCAGATGTCAGAAACAGCTGCAGTACAGGTGTTGGACTGGACAGGTTAACTCTGAGCGTTTCACTGTTTAATCTCAAGCCTACATCGTCAGCTGATCACAGCTCAGGTCAGGCCCCGCCCACCTGCAGTCACCATGACGATCCCTGTTTGATCAGCTAGGAGGAGACTACAAAACCAGATCCAAGTGGACCAGAGAGACCAGCTGGTTGCTGAAGGCCCTGGGTCAGACCTGAACCACTGAAACCAGGACCGGCGTGATGTAGTCTGGATCTGCCAAGAAGCCCCGCCCCCTCAGACTCAGCTTCACAGCACATGTAATAATATTATAATAAATGTAATAACATTAATATAACAAGCAGATGAGGTTGATTCATACAGAGACCAGGTCCAGGATCAATCAGGTCACATGGTCACAGACTCAGGAGAAGATTTTGTTCTCTGTTGGTTTTTCCAGGATTTTAAATCTTCACTTCCTGTTCCTCCTTCAGTCCCTCAGCTCTGAACCCATCGGTCAGTCCTGGTTTCATCTGGACTCAGTTTGGTCCACAGAAACTCAGTCCACATCAGAGACATTCAAAACATTTAAAGACAAACTGAAGAGAACAAACAACTTTATTTCAGAGTTCAATTCAATTTAGAAAAGCAAGAATTAAAATCAGATTAAAATCAGATTAGATCAGCTCGGATCTCTGCAGGTGTTGCAGGTGAAAACTCCCAGCATGCTCCTGGAGCAGGTGGTGGTCAGTTGATGGCGAGGCAGAGCCACTGCAGGAAGAAAAGAAGAAGAGATTAGTGATGATGTCATGAGGCTGCTGTGTCATGTGACCAATAACAGGCTGAGGTTAAAGCTGCAGACATCACTGTGGCCTGTAGGGGGCAGCAGCAGGACTGGACTCTGGTGTTCTGGTAGGAGTTGCTGGTCCAGGACCAGTCAGACCAGTCAGACCAGTCAGACCAGAACAGGACTGGGGTTTTACCTGCTGCAGGTCCAGTTCAATCTTCCCCTGGTTCTTCTTGTCCAAAGTTCTGAACATTTCTGTGGAAGAAAGAGGAAATGTATTAAGACAGAATCAGACTGGGAGCTGTGGTTAGCTGATGTGGGTGTGGTTAGCGGGTGTGGGTGTGGTTAGCCAATGTGGGTGTGGTTAGCTGATGTGGGTGTGGTTAGCTGATGTGGGTGTGGTTAGCTGGTGACTCACTGAAGAGAAGCTCCAATCGGATCAAAGCACCGATGAAACAGTCGAAGTCGATTGCGAAACTCGCGTCAGAGAATCGAGTGACGATCTCCTGGATCACAGAGCTGTTCACCTGGAAACCTACACACACACACACACACACACACAGATGGTGTCACTCTGCAGTAACACTGAACATCCACCAGATGGAGCTCTCTACTGGATCTTTACAAAGAACCAGGACCAGCACCACCCTCCTCCCCACACACACACACACACACACACACACACACACACACACACAGGAAGACGTTGATCTGAACCTCCATAGAAACACTGCAGGTTGTGTTGTCTTGGTAACCGACTGTGGAATAATGTCACATCAGTGGAGGATGATTTCATGTGTAAGTGGCTTCAAACACTGATGACAATGTTTGATCTGACTGAACCAGGTGATAACAGACTGACTGTTTGTTTGTTTGTTTGTAAACAAAGTGTGTGGAGGTTGAATATGTCAGTAATATCTAAAACGAGAACATCATCATAAACCTTGTCTGAAACCCTCTTGTGGATCTTTAAAGAACCCTGAGACTCATCTCAGAACATCTAGAGCAGTGCCCCCCAACAGATGGCTGGCGAGCTACCAGTAGCTTCCACCTAAGGCTTCAGAGAATACAGTTTGTACAAACATGGACACATAGTTCAAACTTTAAGCAACACAACCTCACTCAGTAAATCTGCTCCCAATGCAACTAAATCAAATGCACAGGTTGTTGATGACTTGTTAAATGATTTGGTTTTGATACGATGTGAGTAAATGTAACCAGTGATATATGACATGAGGACTTTCGTTTGGTCAAAGTAGCTCTCGGAGTAAGAAAGGTTGGAGACCTCTGATCTAGAGCCTGCTGAACATCGCTCTTTAAAGGAACCTGAGAAGAACCAACAAAATCCTGAACCCCTGTGAAACCTCTTACGGAACCTTTTCAATCAGCTCTAGAACCTTGTTAGAGAACCTGGAACCTCCTGAGTCATCTCTGGATGTTTAGATCCTCAAGAACCTCCTAAAGCAGAATAATCCAGAACCACTCCTCAAACCCTGACAGGAACCAATCTCTAAGATCTAAGAGGTTTCAGACTCACCGGCTTCAGATAGAGCTGCTCTCAGCTCATGACTGCTCATCGTACCAGAACCATCTGAGTCATGACTCTGAAAGATCTCCTACAGAACAGGAGGAGGACGAGGAGGACGAGGAGGAGGACGAGGAGGAGGAAGAGGAGGAGGAGGAGACAATAGCTGTATTTACTATTTACATTGTATGACAGAGCAGCCTGTCCTCAGCGTCCATGAGCAAGGCACTGTTCTCAGAAACAACATGAGAGTGGAACCGTCCTCACCAGGTATCTCTGGATCTTTGTCCACAGACGGTGAAACTCCACCAGACCCAGTTTACCACTGCCGTCCATCTGAGGTCCAGTTAAAGATCACAGAGGTCACCTGTCTACACCTGTCTACAGCTGGTCCACACCTGTCTACAGCTGGTCCACACCTGTCCACACCTCTCTACAGCTGGTCCACACCTGTCTACAGCTGTCTACAGCTGTCTACCGCTGGTCCACACCTGTCTACAGCTGTCTACAGCTGGTCCACACCTGTCTACAGCTGGTCCACACCTGTCTACACCTGTCTACAGCTGGTCCACACCTGTCTACATCTGTCTACAGCTGGTCCACACCTGTCTACAGCTGTCTACAGCTGGTCCACACCTGTCTACAGCTGGTCCACACCTGTCTACACCTGTCTACAGCTCCACACCTGTCTCATGTTTTCATTATCAATTCATCTGACTGTTAATTTATCGATCAATGATTTGATCTATAAAACAGTGATCACAGTGGCTGAACATGAAGGATACGTCCAGCAGACTGATGATGCTGCGGCAGGTCTGAAGACTGAAGCCGTCGGTCTTCACCTCAGATCCTTCAACACACACACACACACACACACACAGACACACACACACACACACACACACACACACGTATATTAAATTCTCTACTGTAAGATCATGCAGCAGCTGAATGTGACAGGAGGTCAAAGGTCAAACTGTTCTCACTCTGAGCGACAACTCTGTCCAGAATCTGCTGGAGCTCGAAGGCTGAGATCTCAGAGTCCTGTGGACACAGAGTTAAGACCTGAACCCAAACCTTCTTCTTCTCTGATCACATGAAGAAGAAGTAAAAATGTGTCTTTACGTTTCCAGAGATCTGGAGGAACAGACGTCTGAAGTGAGGATCCACGTCGTCCTGCCCCACGTCAGGCTGAAACAAAACCAGACAGGAAGTTACACCCAGTTTCCCTGAGCCTCAGGTCCTGGGTTGCAACATCATCATCATCATCATCATCATCATCATCATCATCATCATCATCATCATCACTTTGATGATTCATGTAAAAATCTTTTTTTTCTTCACAGAACAGAAACTAAAAACCACTTCAGATATCTGATGAACTGCAGCTTCAGAGTCTCACCTCCTGGATGCTGGCGCTCACGTCCTCCTCCATCGGCCTGAAACAACCAGAGAATGAAACCATCACCAGACCAGTCCGACCAGTAACCACCGGTCCTCCTAGTCCAGCCGCCCTCTGACCTGCTGTGCGCCTCCTTCTCCGTGAACACCCTCAGGGCGAAGCTTCCTTTGCGGTGTGGTTCGAAGGTGGAGGGGACGATGACGTACTCTCCGGGGGGGAGTTTGAAGCGGCCGCACACCTCCCTCAGGTTGATGAAGGTCGGGCTGCGAGCCACCGCCGCCGACCTCAGCAGGACGTCCGGCCCCAGGTGGACGTTACTGCGACCTTTGAACTGACCACAGAAGAAGAATGTCTGCTCACCCTCTGACTGTATCTGTTCCGGTCTAACCCCCTGACCTCTGACACCCTGACCTCTGACAGTTTGAAGCGGCCGCACACCTCCCTCAGGTTGATGAAGGTCGGGCTGCGAGCCACCGCCGCCGACCTCAGCAGGACGTCCGGCCCCAGGTGGACGTTACTGCGACCTTTGAACTGACCACAGAAGAAGAATGTCTGCTCACCCTCTGACTGTATCTGTTCCGGTCTAACCCCCTGACCTCTGACACCCTGACCTCTGACACCTGACCTCTGACACCCTGACCTCTGACACCTGACCTCTGACACCCTGACCTCTGACACCTGACCTCTGACACCCTGACCTCTGACACCTGACCTCTGACACCTGACCTCTGACACCTGATCTCTGACCTCTGACACCTGATCTCTGACCTCTGACACCTGATCTCTGACCTCTGACCTTGTGTGTGTTAGTGCAACAACTGATCAAAGGAAGAAAACAGCTGTTGTGAATCTCACCTCATCAGGAACCTGAAAAACACAAACACACAAACATCACAGGAAGAAATCACTGATCAATGATCAATGATCAAACTGATCAGTCATAAAATGTGTGTGTGTGTGTGTGTGTGTGTCTGTGTGTGTGTGTGTGTGTGTGTGTGTGTGTCTGTGTGTGTGTGTGTGTGTGTGTGTGTGTGTGTGTGTGTGTGTGTGTGTGTGTCTGTGTGTGTGTGTGTGTGTGTGTGTGTGTGTGTGTGTGTGTGTGTGTGTGTGTGTGGACCTGATAGATGGCGAATCCGATGGTGTTGAGGTCTCGTCCGAAGCGTCTCTCCCTGCGAGCGTCTTTCTGCATCAGACCGATGAGGGCGGTGCAGCCATCCTCGCCGTCGTCAGGGTCATCGTCAACGGCGAGGAGTCGGACGAAGAACTGAGGGTTGGAGCAGAATGTGGCTGCAGAGAGAGAACAGCTGATCACACATAGTCACATGACACACCTGAAACCACAGAAGAAGAAACGTCTGAAGGTTTTTCACACAGTGATGAAGCGTGAGCACTGACAGCAGTTACACTGTCTATGAACAGATGGATTGTGGGAGTTGAAGTTTTTATTCTGGTTCAGAGATGAAGGTTTGAAGAGAGAGAGAGGAAGAGAGAGAGAGGAAGAGAGGGAGGAACAGAGGGAGAACATGATTGTTTTGATGAAATGAGTTGCGACTTTTATTGTGAAGTTCTTAAACGAGCTCAGAGTCTCAGATCAAACTGACGTGTCGTCTTCAGTCTGACCCTCAGTGACCTCTGACCTCTGGGTCACACTCGTACCAGGGTAGTTCCTGCAGCCACCAGCGGTGGAGCCAACCCTCCATACGCCCTCGAACTCGGCGTAGTTCCAGCGAGCGACCTGGTTGCTGGTGAGCGTGTCGGGCGTCAGGTTACAGATGTCGAGGCGGGAAAACTGACGCAGGAAGTCGGAGTAGGACATCCTGCAGAGAGAGGAGAAGAAGAAGGAAACTGACTCTGACTCAGAGAGATTCTCACATCCTCGTCGTCACTCACCAGAACTCTCCATCGTCAGCACGGTGATCCAGCTTCCTCCTCTCCTCCGGCCCGACTCCGGCCCACTCCCTGGAACTGACACAGAGCAATCACTGTGATCATGTGATGAACCTCAGCTGAGTCTCTCAGAGGACACGTCGCTGTAACACTGACCGATGTCTTTGTGTCACATGATCATTAAATGATTGTTAAACCAAAACCATCTGGTTCAGACAGATGTTCAGACAGATGTGGTGCACTCACTCGTCACTCCAGGCACCAGTCCACTCCACCTGACCCCAGGGGTTCCTGATCCTCAGCAGGTCCACGAGAGAACCGGAGGAATGAACCTGCAGAACCAAAGACGTTGAAACCAGCTGTTCCTGTTTCTGCTCATGTCAACAAACTGTCTCATGATTACCCAGAATGCCTCACCTGCTCAGCTGCAGTGATAGAGTAGGCATGGCCTTTAACCAGCTTCTGACTAGTGATCGCCTCCGTCTCATTTGAGCTGGAAATCTGACAAACGTGAACATGTGTCAGCGTTAGCACTGTTAGCATTGTTAGCACTGCTAGCATCCTGCAGGACCTTCAGCTTCTATCAAAGAGACAGAGGTCAGTGCTAACAAATAGAAATTTTATAACTTCAGGCAACATCAGCTAACAAGCTAAATTAGTTAAATAATAATACATTAAATGACCTAATAGCTAAACTAACGAGCTAAAGAAACTAAAGATCTTAAGAAGATAAACTGATGAAATTACTTAATGAAGTGAATTAGCAAACAAACTAAATGAGCCTCATGGTGTTTCTGAGCTAACTGTTAGCTCAGCTAGCTCTCTATCTACGTAGTCGCAGTGGAGGTGAGTCAAAGATTTTGTTTTATTGACATGAATTTAACAGACACCTGTCGGCTAATCAGAGACAGGGATTACAGGTGATATAGAGTTTTAAAGGTTTACGTCGATGGAGCAGCCGAGCAGCGAGCCAAGCTTCAGAGCCTTCCTTATGATGTTGAACAGGGAGGGCGGAGCCTCCCTCAGGTCGTAGCTCTCTGCGATTCCTCCAGTGAAATCCTCGAAACCCTCGATGCTGGAGCCTCCAGTCAGAGCCTCATACGAACTGTTCACCCTGCAGGAGGAGACGGTTCACACTAAGACTTCACCTTACACCTGCACAGGTGTGTTAGCCACGCTGTGTGATGAAGAAACCAGGACTCATAGTTTTAAACCTGCAGCTGAAGACTGAAGGAAGTTCAGGTGTTTAACGACACTGGGTCTGTGTGGATGGGATTTCACTGGATGTAGTGACTACAACATGGCAGCTGGATTCACCTGACCACACCCTCGACTCCACCTCCCCTCCCACCAGTGAATCACAGTGGAGGAAATTCGTTTGTTAAAGACGTTATTGTCAGGTGAAGCATCAGATGAAGTGAAGCATCGGGTGAAGTTACAGTTAAAGCGTCAGGTGAGGTGTCAGTGCTGAAAGCAGCTGATGTGTGAAATGAGTTGGTGTCAGTTTTTTACTCAGGCTGAAGACTGAGCAGTGTGAGGAGCTGAAGCGTCAGCTGTTGATTGTAAATAATGAAAGAAGTTGAAATGAAGCAGGAAAGTTCCCTGACAAACTGAGAACTGAGATTTCTTCTAAATAAAATCTCAAATTAACAACACATCGACTATAGTGATCCTGAACTGTGGGTGTAAAATGAAGGAAGATGAAGTGGAGGTTATGTTGGGTCAGTGAGGTGAAAAAATCAGAGCAGCAGGTGTGATGGCTTCACCTGGTCTGAGTCAGCAGCTTCTATCTGCAGCTCTGTTTGTTTTCCAGGCGGGTCGGCGCCGAGTGTTTACAGAGTACACCCTCCTCCACCCTACTGCTAATCACCACACACACACACACACACACACACACACACACACACACCACCACCTGGACACTTCCAGCTAAGGTGAAGTAAATTAAACCAAAGTCCAGTCAGAAAAGACCAAACTTAGTCCAACTGTTCAGTCCAGAGTGTAAATACTGTGAACAATGTGAACAATGTAAACACTGTAAATTTAAATACTTTAAATACTTTAAACACTGTAAACACTGTAAATACTTTAAACACTGTAAATACTGTAAACACTTTAAATACTGCAAATACTGTAAACACTGTAAATACTGTAAATTCTGTAAATTCTTTAAATACAGTATATACTGTAAATACTGTAACCACTGTAAATACTTTAAATACTTTAAATACTGTAAATACTGTAAGTACTGTAACCACTGTAAATACTGTAAATACTGTAAGTACTGTAAATACTGTAAATACTGTAAATACTGTAAATACTGTAAATACTGTAAATACTGTAAACACTGTAACCACTGAAGCAGCTGCAGTGTAACCACAACAACTGAAGATTCAAACAGTTGAAGTGGTAAAAGGAGTTGAAGGTGTCAGGTGAGGAAACTCTGATGTGATGATTTTGAAGGAGATGCAGAGGAAGAGAAAACAGTTCAGCTGAAGTGTAAATACTGAACACTGAAAGGAGGTGAAGTAGACCCTGAAGGAAGTTTGTCAGTTGAAGTGTGAAGCTGGATCCCCCCCACCCCCCC